CACCCTGCCCCCAGCAGGGGGCTGTCATATATGTTTCATATGGTCGGTCCGGAAAATATGGGTTTTTTGTTAAGTCGAGAAAACAAACAAGCAAAGGCTGCTGGGTAAATAATTGAAAACAGCTGACAGGAACATTATTTCCAACAACAGGAAAAAAAAGTCCAGTTCCTTTGTTGCTGCCGTACGTCTTGATAAAACACAGCGGGCTTTGAAATGAGCCCACGACGTCTGAGGAAACGCTGACAGCTTTTCACACCCGAGGCCCAGAAAGTGCTGTATATTTATCTCTGAAAACATATATTTAAAAAAAATGTAAAGACTCGTTTTCTAAGGAACAACTGAGATCCGTGATGTAAATCATTTTACATGTTGTCACACCAACAGGTGAAAGGCAGCGTGACGACGTGTCATCAAGCATCAGCAAAACTCTGCAGGACGTGGATGTTGTGTTGCAGGAACAAAAAAAAACACTTTTGTGACAGGAGCCACATCGTACTTTAACGAAAGTTCGGCTGTTATTTCCTAAGAGCTTCTGGCGTGATTTTTCTCTGAACACAGATTTGTCCTTTGGCGTCTGCAGTTCTCCAGTTGGTTTGAAGATGGCAGTAGAAGGCGTGGCCCTGATCAGAATCTTTTTCTACGTAATTGCTCGTCTCACGCGGCCTCCTCGGGGCCACGCACCAACCTGTGCGGAGGTGACAAGTAATTGGACAGGATGTCATTCATTCCTGTGTCTCAGCTCCGTCTGCTGACCTGGGATTTCTCCACCAAAAGCACGGGGGCAGAACTAATGGCCATCTCTGCAGGCAACGACCTGAGGAACCAGCGCCGCAGAAACAAAGTGACAACTGTGACTGTGTCCATTCAGCAGAATCTCTGGAAGGAAACATTTCTGACGGCGTCTACTGGGACCAGGAGGAAAAGTAGCACAACATCCAAGTAACTTCTTTTCAGTCACGTTAGCATTTATGATCGCACATAAAATATAATAATAAAAACTCAAAGAGCAACTTTAGTTCCAGCTACATCTTTACACTCTCTGTTTGTTTCTTTTTTCTTCAGAACTGAACGAAAATTTAAAATGTACGAACTCGGCTTTGTTTTTTCATCTATAAATCATTTCAATTTGCCTGGAAACGTCTTGAACTTCCCTCACGGAGATACAGCCGACGCTAACCCAGACCAGGTCTCTACGACTGACACAGTTCTGAGGCTCAGAGCGAGCGCTGGACGAGTTCATTAAGAAGACGCAGAACGGCAGCCATTATTTCTGTTAATGGAAATAAGAAGCTGAAGAGGCGTGAACAGCTGTTGACCTTTACCTCAAGAAAGAGCAGGAACACACACACACACACACACACACACACACACACAGTGGGGTGGTTGAGTGTTCTTGCCTTACAGCAAGATGGTCAGTGGTTCGATTCCCTGTGACAACTGTGATTGAACTGTGTGTGAGAGAGGGTGTGTGTTTTTCCTGGTACTTTGGTGTACCTCATGCAGTATTAGGTTAGTAGTTAGCTGTAATATTACTACTGATGGATGGCTGTGGTGCCCTTGAGGGCCCCGCTCCCCAGTTTGGGCACCCCGGACTTTCTCCATCTATTTTGTTGTAGAATGAACCTGTACATGAACAGAACCCCCCCTGCTGTGGGTGAAAGTAGAATGAACCTGTACATGAACAGAACGCCCCCTGCTGTGCTTCAGTGGAACTTCTTCTACTTTTTAACACAAAGTTGTCTGTGGGTGAAGTGGTGGCCCGCGTGACGCTGCTGGTACGGCTGTAAAACCTGCAGCGACC